CTCTGTGGGTGCCCCCACCCTCTGGAACGAACTACCCCCCGAGATCCGGACGATTCCGGATCTCCTACCTTTTCGCCGCGCCCTCAAGACATGGCTTTTTCAACAAGCGGGTCTGGCCTAGGGAGAATTTTTAAACAGGGACAATTCTTAATTTAATTTTAATTAATTATACAGTGAAAAAAAAATATTTGGTTTTTAATAGGTTTTTATGGGGGGATGATGTTTTAAGTGTTTTAATATGCTGTAAGCCGCCCTGAGTCCTATAAGGAGAAGGGCGGCATATAAATCTATGAAAATAAATAAATAAATAAATAACATGATTCGATCTATCCAAAATCTGAAACTATATAATTGCTGTGTTGTTACTTCTACTGTCATAGTCGATATGGTAGATAATAAATACTAATGCAAGAAATTTTATTGATGCGTGTCATTTTTTATTTTAAATCTTAAACATAACTGTAGAGTACATATCGAAACAATGTATTGCTGTTTGGATTTCATGTTAAATAAATGTAAGCATATGAATATAAACATTTTAAAATGTATCACTTAATATTAAAAACTGGTATATATGAGAAGATAATATATAAATTTGTGAATTATTTAATGTGCTTTCATTCTCAGTCCTCAGATTTTAGACATCTGAAAAGATTTATCTGTTGGAACTATTTAATATTGCTCATATTTTGAATAAGTCCTTTTCTATTATATTTAGCATCTAGGAGTCTTAAAATTCCAATAATTGATTTATTGTACTTATTTTTGGAAAGAATATTTAATACAATATATCATGAGAACTATTAATTAGTAATATCATTTGGGTTTACTTTCTATGCAGGTTCTGTATATTTAATTAATTCTTTATAATTAGATTACTCCTTTTAGATAGAAAATATCTAATATAAGCAGTGGAAACAATTTAAATGCAAGAGTTCTTGATAAATTAATGTTTAATGTTAGATTTTTCATGAGGTCACTATTTGGAAATAGAAAGACTGAAGGGACATTTTTAGGCTATTTACACCATTGTATTAACTCATGCAATATTACAGGGATCCCTAAATAGTTTCCATTTTGCAAAATTGCTAAATTCTATGACATTTCAGGGAATTTTACTCTTTTGAACTCCAAGCTCTTACATTATGTGCCATACATTTCTATAATAGTTCAAGCAACATACATGATCATTTTAATCATGCAGTGTTGTTAAGGCTTGGGATTATTTGACACATGTTCTCTGATTCTCAACCAATTGAAACAGAAGAAAAGTAATTACAGTGCTTTGTTCTGTAATGTCAGTGTAGATTATTGTAAGGCTCAATATAGAGAACAAAAGTCTTGCTAAATGAAATCTTACCTATATTGGATCAGGTAATCATTAAATAATTAGGAAATAGATGCTTAAGATACAGAAGGATCTGGACAGACGTGAACACTGGGCACTATCTAACAAAATGAAATTCAATGGTGAAAAAAGCAAAGTTCTACATTTAGGCAAGAAAAACCAAATGCACAAGTACAGCATAGGTGGCACCTTGCTCAATAGTAGTAACTGTGAGAGGGAGTCCTAGTAGACAATCACCTAAATATGAGCCAGCAGTGTGCTGCAGCTACCAAAAAGGCCAACACGGTGCTAGGCTGCATTAACAGAGAGATAGAATCAAGATCACGTGAAGTGTTAATACCACTTTACAATGCCTTGGTAAGGCCACACTTGGAATACTGCATCCAGTTTTGGTCACCGCAATGTAAAAAAGATGTTGAGACTCTAGAAAGAGTACAGAGAAGAGCAACAAAGATGATTAGGGGACTGGAGGCTAAAGCATATAAGGAACGGCTGCTGGAATTGGGTATGTCTAGTTTAATGAAGAGAAGGACGAGGGGGGACATGATAGCAGTGTTCCAATATCTCAGGGGCTGCCACAAAGAAGAGGGAGTCAAGCTATTTTCCAAAGCGCCTGAAGGCAGGACAAGAACTAAGGAGAAACTTCCTGACATTGAGAACAATTAACCAGTGGAACAACCTGCCTCCAGAAGCAGTGAATGCTCCAACACTGGAAATTTTTAAGAAGAGACTGGACAGCCATTTGTTCGAAATGATATAGGGTTTCCTACCTGAGCAGGGGGTTGGATTAGATGACCTCCAAGGTCCCTTCCAACTTTACTATTATTATTAAATGAGCTGATGGTTTCACAATTTACTTACTATGTTGGGCTATATACTTTTCTCAAGAACCAATTAGCCTATAAGAGCTCTTTTCCTGAAGCAAAAGAAAGGAGAATCTCCAAGATACAAATTACTTTCTATGCATATGTATGAAATTTGGTTAATAAGTGCAGGATCTAATGAGGAAAAAAGTATCAAATTTCTCAGTGGTGCATTCACTGGGCATATTATCCTTCTCCTTTCATATTAGAGTTCTAACTGTAAAAATGAATAAGAATAATTGACACTGATAATTGTTGGTAAATTAAAAATAGTTTTTATTAAAATAAAGTGCTATTTTAATATTGTATTTGACTGGTCAGCTTTTTGTTTATTTTGTTTTCAACAAACAGTGATCAATTATTCTAGATCAAATGTATTGAAATATATTGTGGCATTCAGTAATTTGTTATTTCAAATAATTAGATAGTTCTTTCATTGTTTTGCAGACAAGGTAACTAGTTTATTTCTGATCTATAGAAAGACTGATCTATAGAGAGAGTAAAGGCTCCATTTGTCTAAACTGGAATTATAATTTTAAAGATAAAGGCTAGTTTTACTTAGCTTGCATTTCTGTTATAAGTTATTTAAGGAAACTTCCAGAAATAAATGTTTAAATATATATGTATTTTTTCCAGTGAGGAAATGAACGTTCTTTTGAATCCTGACTACCTGGAGCATGATGCCTAGTATGTTCAGTAATTTTCATTTGTTCTTAAATTTATGATTCTGATTATTATCGTTATCATTTTTAGTTAATGATATAATCTCTTTCAGTGCAATGTTCACTCTTCTAATGAAAACAGCGGAACATTGGTTTTCAACTTATGAGCATGACAGTCAAAAGGTACCTCTTGATAAAAATTCATATGTAAAACTATTTTTAAATTAATTATGTGTAATTATTGAATGAGCATAAATATGCCATTTAAAATATGTTATAACAATATCTTTGAAGATTTTAGTCTTCAACAATTTAAAATGTTTATGGTAAATAAATTTTATAGTTCCCTATTCACGTGTACTGTACCAATTAAAACAGACAGACGGGGAAATTAAGCTTAAATAAGAACTTTGAAAATAGGATACATAGTGATTTAACAAATTAACTTTTACAAATATGTGAAATATAAACTGATCAGAAAAAATGTTATAGATAGATGTCATAAAATAGATAAGCAGTATAGTACTTTTATAATGCATGAAACATGAAAACATTGGGATGGTGTATCTAAATGGAAAATCTGGATATTTAGATGATTAATATTGAGAAAATTATGACTGATAAGAATTGTTTGAATATTAAGGGAAAATTAACCTTAAATAAGAATTATGAAAATAGGATATATGGTGAACTAATAAGGTGATTTTTATAAAAACAACACAAGTTGATAAGAAAAAATGTCATACATGGACGTTACTATTGTTTGTATAAACATGAAAAATAAATTTATATTTAACCATTTATGCATTGAAAATATTAAGAATTATATTTGATTAAGGTTGAAGGAGAAGGGAGAAGGGAAGATCAAAGAAATATATTATTAATTAATATACTAATTATGGAATTACAAAAATTAATTATTATTGACTGTTAATTAACTACTATTGATTGTTGTTGTTTTTTTAAATATATGAACCAAGACAACACACTGTACAGTAGGCACTAAGGATTATTATTATTGTAAAAAATCAATAAAACATTTCTAAAAAAAAATAAAACAGACAGACAGATCAGTAATCTGATCAGATCAAATGTATCACTTTGTTTTTTATTTCTTTGTGCAATTTTCAGCCTAAAAATGCTATTTATTTTTATAAAGCAACTCTGTGTAGCTTACAATTAATTAAAAATGCAAAAAAGGGAATCCAAATCAATATATAACCAAAAAGAAACCATCCAAAGGCCTCACTTTTCATTCTGCCCCAAAGGTTAGGAAAATAACCAGGTTTTTAACAGCTTTCTGAACATCATCAGATTATAGCCATATATATCTCTGTGGTATAATTCTGAAAGCAAGTTCTGTAACAAAGAAGGCACTTTTTTGGGTCCCAAAAGACAATATTGCTTAATTGATGGGAGTGCATCCATTCTGCCTAATTTATTTATTTATTTAATTTATTTATTTTATTTAATTGCATTTATATCCCGCCCTTCTCCTTGCGGACTCAGGGCGGCTGACAATGATTAAAATACTAACATATACATCTAATTAAAAATTGATTAAAAAGAAATATTTAGATACGTCAAATTTAAAAGTAATTAAAACCCCTTTAAAATCCCTTAGGCCAGTCCCGCGAGCTGGAACAACCACGTCTTGNGGGATCACCCTGATCTCTGGGGGCAGTTCGTTCCAGAGGGTGGGTGCTCCCACAGAGAAGGCCCTCCCCCTTGGGGTCGCCAGCCGGCACTGTCTGGCTGACGGCACCCTGAGGAGACCCACTCTGTGGGAGCGTACAGGTCGGTGGGGGGTAATCTGTGGCAGGAGGCGGTCTCGAAGATAACCAGGTCCGCTGCCATTGGATCAAATGGTCAGAAACAACTGGAAAAGATGATCCCTCATATCTTTATTAAACAAATTTATGTAGCTGTCCCATCAGCTGTCCCTTAATAGATGGGACTAACAACATGACCTGCCTTCCCACTCTGGTGCATTGGGTAGATGTAACAAGGGAGTGGTAGTCCTTCAAAGGTCCCAAGCCATATAGGATTTTAAAGGTGTTGACTAACACCTGAGTTGTATCTGAAAACAAATCAGCATCTAGTAGACGTGACACAGTGCAGTTTGAATCAGCTGAAACTTCTGAATACTCTTCAAGGGCAGTCCCATATAAATTAAATTAAGTAGTCCAAATGGAAGGTGACGAGATTGTGGGTAACTGAGAAAGGGTTTTTGGTCCAGTAATGGGCATAATCAGGCCTTATGCCATGAAGGGCTTTGAAGGTGATAAATTACACTTTCAATTGTACCTGAATTGCATAACACCCAAGAGGTTCTTGTGACTTATCCTTCACCAGCATGAACTGAATTACTTTAAACATGCATGATTATCATTAGGAATAATTAGGATAGAAAAATAACTGTTCTCTGCCCTTATTGCTACTGTCATGGTTCCGATGGATGAGATCAGTAAAAACAGAACTCCAAGGAAAGCAGTTTCCTTTCCTTTGGTGGGCTGAGCCCTCCGTTAGAAAGCCCACCAAAGTAGTTTATTGGGGAATGGGAAGTTCAACTTTGTAACATTGTAACCTTTGGGAGGGAACTCCACTCTTGGTTTCACTTTTGACTGTGCCAATACTTTGTAGCCAATAAATATGTTATTTAAGGAAACTGCTTTCCTTGGAGTTCTGTTTTTACTGGTCTCTTCTATCGGAACCATGACATTAAAGAGTGACTAATGACATTGTGGCCCTTATTGCCACAATGTGATCCCATCAATACTCTGTTCAGTCAAATTTGGTCTTCAACTTTTTCCATCTGCTCTTCAGGCTTCTCTTCTGGCACCACATCATTCTGAGCATCTTGGAAAGCCAAGGAACAGCCCAGGTTGACACACAGGAAAAGATTGTATATGACAAATCTGGTCCAGGGACTAGCCACCTGCTCATTCTTTGGCTAAACTCCAGCCTCTTCCAAACTGGGGAAACTGTAATCTCTTCTGGAAATCCTCAAAACCATCATTTACCTGGGACAGGCTGATCACAGAGTGGAAGTCTAGGCCATTTCTTCATTTGAATATTAATTTAGATATTATGGAATCTCCGAGTTGCATTTCTATGATGGGATGAGGAGAATCTCCTCTGATGTTGTTGATTTATTATATTTGGATTGTAGTCTTTGTAGATCAATAAATTTAACAATATTGCCTACAACTTTTATATTTAGAATCCTAAATGGAAAGTTTTCTTTTCCTTTAGTAGAATGTTCAGCTGCAAGAGATATATATTTATGCTTCCATGGTTATGATTATCTTTTGATAAACCTATATGGGCAACTCAATTAATAATTGATTTAAATTTATATTTCTTGTTTTATCAATTTTAATAGGAAAAAGATGCTGCGATGACCCCTATTCCGTTTGCAAGACCACAAGATTTAGGTCCATCAATAGCCATTGTTGCAAAAGTTAATCAGATCCAAGATCATTTGCTAAAGAAACATGACATTGAGCTCTACATGCATCTGAATAGGCTTGAGATTGCACCTCAGATTTATGGACTGTAAGTATTTGGCATGATTAATTTTTAAATCAGAAAATGTTAAAATGTTAAATTTAAAACACATCAACAAGCAACTTTAAGTGATTTCCATCCATCATATGTTGTTCCCTCTACTGTCATATTTCTAGATAAATTCCAGTATTCAGAGCTGCAAAGTTTGCAAATATAATTGTGGTATGATAAAACCCTAGAAAATAGAGCCAGAGATACTTATTCTTTTATACTTTGGGGGGAGGGAGGGAAGTATGTTTAACAACTATCACTTCCAAATTTAGGCAGACACTAGATTATCAATGTAATAATGTTATAGGTATTTAAGTGATTATACTTGCAACAAATCTGACAGCAAGAGTTACATTTTCTCAGAATAGCCTGTTGGAGCAATGTGCTTGGGATTTGCACATTTGTTCCATAAGTAACTAGAGCTGCCTCTTTTCTTTTCCTTCTTATTTTTTTATTTTTCTTTTTGATATATCCTTAACTTTTCAGCTTTTCTTCTCATTTTTATTCCCATCTCAATTCCAGTCCTCCATTTAGTCCCCTCTTACCTATATGAAATTAAACACTAGGGGTTTAAGGTTGCCCACACTACCTTGATTTTATTTAACATATTGTTAAAATATAGTTTGAAGGGGAAAGGATGTATTGTATGATTGAGAGCAGGAACTGATTTATTATTCTTATGTCCAGGAAACAATTTGGAATGTCCTCCTTCTGTTGTTATTTTTTAGCAAGCAAGCAAGCAAGAAGCCTAGCATATAAGTTAGAAATTCTAGCATTAGCCAGCTGTGTTCTGTTGAAGCATACAGATTCACCTTGCTCATTCTGTGTCCCCCCGGCAAATCAGTGCAGATGGCTTCCTTAACTATTAGTGTTCATAGCAAAAATTTTGCAAATAAAACACCATAAGAATGATAAATGAATACAGATTGCATCCTGTATATATAGCAAATGGCTACTAATGTTTTTCTTGCTTAGTATAAAATAATGTCATGTTTCACAGATATCAGCATTTTATAATGTTAATTAAAAGTAAGATATTGTATTAAAGATACTATAAATATTGTGTTTAATTTCTCTATATAGAGATCATTTTAATAGGAATAAAATACAGAGCAGAGTTAAAGCAAAATAATAGTTCTTAGCAAACATATCCCTATCAAGGTTGAGTAAAATGTTTAATACATAGAGGGTTAGTCCCTTTATTATTTCATTTTTCAGAAATTATGTAAAATGAACACAATAGAATATGTTTATGCCTTCCAGCAGCCTATATAAATTAATGTTTGTAAGGTTGGACTTAGACCAAAGAAACACCTGGTTCAAAACTACATTCAGTTATGTAATTAATTGATTGTTGTTAGGCAGTTACAGTTTATCAACTTAATCTATTTCAAATAGTTATTTTTGTGATGATTAAATTATAGTAAAGAGCATTATGCATACCATCTTGACTGCTTAAAAGGGAAATGACACATTTATTTAACTCTAAGTAAATAAATGATAAAATAGATTTTAAAAAATTGTAGTTGAAATGCTACTGTTAACAAATTAGAGAAAAATAAATTGAGTCCATATTGGTCAGACCTGTTTAGATATAATGGTTAGCTGCCATGATTTTGCATTATGGAAATGAATCTTGAACAAGAGCTGGATGTTCCTTTCTTCTAAATTTTCAACAAAATAAATTTCTTCTAAGCCAGAGGTAGCCAAAATTTATTGTGCATAATAATACTGCAGATAGTTCATTTAAATGCATAGTTTGAAATGGCCAAAATCTTGGAAGGTGCCATGTTGCTAGTTTCTTATTTATGTATTTTATCTATTTATCTGCTTATCAGATTGTAAGTGCTGTATAATTGAATTCTTCAGCCTTTCCAGCTTTGCGGACTGGCGGGGAGGAGACGGGGATAGTTCTGCATGAGTAGCGGGCAAGCAATGTGCACATTCACCCACCGCCCACACAAATGGAGTGCACATGTATGCTCTCACTCACTCACTCTCGCAAGTGGGTGAGTGTGTGCACGTATCCCCACTTCTTGCACACCACTTCCGCAGCCCAGCTCCGAACCGCTCAAGGCCCAATAGTGGGCCATGGCCCAGGGATTGGAGACTTCTGCTGTATAACACATGAAACAACTTTGGATGGCATGCAACATTCAGAAGCTTTCTATGATACAGAAGTAGTCTGAAAAGAGAAGGACAGCATTTTTCTTAATGGATGTGCTTTTTCCTTTGGAACTAGTTATTGAAAATTAACATTTAATGGCAACTTAATACTGATCTTGATAACCTCATCACGTTTTTATTACTCACTATTAACCAGAAAACATATACAAATGCTCACTTCTCTCATGAATAAACTGGCAGGTGAGATAGTTGGGAAGAAACTAGTAGCTATGCAGGCATTCAAGTAAGTAGAGGAAGGTGACATAAGGCAATGAGATGAGTGATGACCATCTGTTGCGTAGGATAATTAATTTTACAATTGGATCTTTATTTACAGATAAGTGCCTAGTGATTTGTAATCTGTCATTAAACATACCATTGCAACAGAATTTCACTTGAAACTTCAAGTGGAATTATGTATTAGACCTTTTTATTTCTAATAATATGTTAACATATAGTAATTTTTATATGTAATGTTGTTGGGTATTATATATTTTTTTCCTGTAATGAATGCTTGAATTATTTCCTAAATGTTAGTGGAAAAGGATGCTATTCCTGATTCAGAGTAAAGGAAGTATTTTTGCTAACAGTTGTTTTAAAGATTAAAAAAGACAAAGATACTCAAAAAGTTTTCATATTTCTATATTCACTATATTCAATTACATATCAGAAGTTAGAAGAAGCTTATTAAAATGATGTTATTTAATCCAGCCTAAAAGACAATATGCCAGCCAATATGCCATTTATATTTGATAGCTATCTACTTCAAGATACTTTTAATACTTTATTTCATGTAAAGTCAATGTTTCTTGAACATTAGAAAAAATAAACAGATAATTTATAAACATCTCTCAACAAAATGGATGTCCATATAACTTTATAAAAAAGTACCTGACCATTCAACCGAATATAGCCAACCAAAATTAGCTGTGAAAAGGATAAAACTGCCATACAGACTATTACAACCACATGGTATCACCATAGCACACAAACCATATAAAACCCTCCAAAATATCCTAAATAAACCAAAAGAGCCAGCAGTTCAGAAAAAAAACCCAGGAATCATCTACAACATACAGTGTAAGGACTGCAACAGTCACTATGTAAGATAAAAAGGCAGAACACTAGCAGAGCACTTCCATGAATACCCACTAGCAGTCAGAAGATTCCTTAGTTTCACAATATGGACAAACTTAACCATAATTTGAACTAGGAAACTGAGCATTCTAGACCAAACAAAGTCCAAAAATGCTAAAGAAGTATGGCCATCTACAGTCACATAGAAACAACATCTATATATATATTATTCAAAAGAGATAATCAAAACCCTAAAAAGGAAACAAAGATGAAAACACTTCCTCACCAGCAAACAACCCCAGTAGAGAGTAACACCAAGATTAATATTAGACCAACAATCAAAAGCAAACATTACCCCAATCAAGGAACTATCAAACAGCCCAATCAATGCAGTTTGAGAATCCTTAGTTCAGTATGTCTATCAGCCTCTTTTACTTTAGTATATCTGATGAAAAGTATAATGCAATTAATATTCTTCATTTACTTTTAACTAAGTATGGGTTTAAACCTTGTTTAGTAATTTATTCTTGAATAAATTGAAAGTTGAAAGTAAATGGTATATAAGTTGATTGAAAATGAGAAGTATGGTGAGATTTCTTTACTTATGCCGCTTAATTATATGCTGAGATGCCGGGAAGAAAACTAACATAGGATTGAAAGTTACAATACAGTGTAATGGATTACATATGTAAGATAGATAAAGGCTTTTGACCATCCACATGATGCATTTTGTAGGAATGTATTCAAATGTATTTAAAGGCTATTTTTGCTGAATTTGGACAGTTGTTATAGAAAAAAACTGCAAAGGATTCCACCATTATCTCCGAACAGTTATTAACATAAAACTGATCTTTCCTAAACTATCCAGGAAAAAATGTAATAATTTATAGTATGAAAAAAATGACAAAACAGATGTACATAAAAAGAGATACATGGTATTTGTGACAATAATACACAAAAGACAAATAAGCCAATATGTTCCATGAAACAAGTGACTTAAATTCAGTTTATATAGCTTGCATGGAACTGAAGCTGAACATATATTTTAAAAACTTGTTCAATTTATATGAGATGCTTGCTGTCGGCATATTAGCTATTGTTTTTAGAAGTGATTCTGGCTAGGAATTCTGGAATGACAATCACAAAGTTATCTAGAGACCTCAAGATTGAGCAATGCTAATGTACAAATTAGATGTGGGTTATTAGAATAACTTTTTCCCTGTCCTTCACAGTATTAACAAAAGAAAATAATTTGTAAAAGAACAACTTTTTCAATCCATAATAATTAAGGATCTTTGATCGATACTATCAATGTACTATCGTGATAGTGTCAACTCTTAAAGACCACATGGAGATTTTGTCCATGATCTGAATTTAATCTGATCTTTCAGATCTTCAATTGGTGCACCCATCACTACTATAACTGAGTCCATCCACTTGACCTTCTCCTTTCTCTTTTCCCCTTTGCCTGCAATGGAGCCTTTTGCAGTCTTCACATAATCTCAAGTAGGATAATTTGAACTTGGTTATTTCGGCCTCAAGTGAGAACTCTGGGTTGATTTGTTTAATAATCCATTTGTTTTTGGCTATCCACTGTATTCTTAAGTGTCTTCTCCAACATCAAATTTCAAAAGGACCAATATTGTTTCTATGCTGGTTTTTCAAAGTCCAACTTTTGCTGACATGTAATGTCACAGTTAATACTAATGTCTGCACTATTCTTATCTTTGTAGGAATAGGAACATTGTGGCATT